TTGTATTGATTCTTTCAAATAAAAATGTGATATCAATATATTAACTTAAAGTAAACATTTAATTAGCATCAAATTATATTCATAAATTAATTAAAAATATATAAAATCATATTCTAATAAATAATTGTTTTTTTTCAATATCTCTTTTCAAATTCTATAAAATTTTCTTAATTAAAACTTCCGAAAACTATCATATTTTAAAATTATATCCTATATTAAAATTAAATTATTCTATAATAAATTAATTAAAAAATATATAAGATGTTCAGATGTTTTTTTGTATTGGTGACATGCCATAATGTCATTATATAATTTTCTACCATATTTGGTATATCAATATTTTGATAATACGAGAAAATTTTATATACTTTAAAATAATTCACATAAAATAGTTTAAAATTGTTTTTTACTTTTGAATCTCTACTTTTATTATATTATAAGATCAAATTAACTATGTTATTAAAAAAAATCTAATAAATATATATTTTTTAAACCTAAGGAAACATTTTGAGGGAAAGAAAATCTTATATATGAACGTTTTGTAACGTATGGTATTAAATATCAATAATTGATACAACAATTTGTAAGTTTATGTCAAGCTTAACTCATCTTGACACACTATTGATAATTTTATACAAGATTTTTTCTCTATGCAACTAATGTTAGAAAATGCATCTTAAAAAAATGTTATGAACTTCATTTATTGATAAGATAAAAAATTGTTATGAAAAAACTAAAAAAAAAATTTATATCACATACGATCTTGATTTTTATATAGAGTATTTTATGTAAATACTCATAAAGACATGAATAAAAAATTAATTTATATAAAAAACTATCATTTTGTTAAAAAATTGTAGAAGCTATATAAATTTAGGTAATGTAAGAATCAAATTCTGTAAACCAAATATGTGATCAATCAATTTCAAAAGCATTTAAATTTCACTAATTTTTTACATGTGTTTATCTATAAATTATTGCATATTTCACTTTATAAGTTTTATCTTTCCAGTTATGTGTGGACTCAACATTTTTTTTTTCACATTAGTGGACACCGACTATAACGAAAAGATTCCAAAAGAATACGCTAAATTCTAGAGCAAAATTGAAAATATAGTATTCAAATGAATTTTTTTATATGTATCATCATATGGTTCACTTTCATATTAAACATTTAAAAAGAGAAATTTCAAAAAATACCACTTTTCAAGTGCCACTTTACAAGTGCCACTTTACAAAAATGTCACACTTTGAAGTCTTTACAAAAATGCCACTTTTTCAAAATTATTTTTTTTTATATTATTTATGTTTGGGTTAACTATGTTCTATTAAGGTTTACTTAGGAGGGTTTAGGGGGATTTAGGGGTCAAAACATTTTTTAGTTTTTTGAATTTTGAGATATAAGATTTAAAAATATATAATTAGTGGCATTTTTGCAAATGAACACCACTAAGTGGCAAATGTGCACATAAAAAATGGCATTTTGCAATTTTTTCATTTAAAAATGATGTTTGAATTTGTATAAATAGAAATTGTGAGTATATATCTAAAACATCATTTAAGTATATCAATGTTAGTATATTTAAATAGTTTTAAAAATTATCTAAATAATTGTTTCGTGCAACGCGTGGATTTTCACTAATATATGATATACCAATATTTGATTTATGTTTTAATAATTTATTTCTATGTTAGCTATAGTTATATATAAAATACATAAATTAA